GAAATGGAGAAGGGATTGCACTGTAGCCATTCCCTATGGGGAGGAGGGGAGTACTTTCTCCTATCCCTCTCTCTGGCAAGTACATCAGCCCTCTAGCTACATTTTTTAGAGTTTTGTGACTGGAAGATACAGGGGTTCTTTTACATAGGGTGGTCAGGGAAGGCCCTTCTGGTGGGTGACAGTAGAAGGAGAGGAGAGAGTGTGGCTGCATCTTCAGAAGCTTGAAGCTGAGGACAGAATAAGCGCGGAGGCCCGGATTGATTCTGTTTCTCCTTGGGCCACAAACTGTGTACTAGTACTTCTGCACTGGTTCTGGACCGTTACATAAAGTCTCAAGATAATGAGAACAGGGTTTGGGAAACTTCAAAGAGCTTGAGGGCATCACTGACCCTGTACCTTTTCAGTGTCTCTACAGACAGACGTTTCAGGCATTCTCTGAGATGCTCCAGAGTTTGGTGGTAAAAGACCCACATTTGGAAAATCTTGACACCATTTTTCAGGTAAGTAAGATACCAGGGAAGAATGGGAAGCTATTTCTATTAACTAGTAAAAGTGGAAACTGTGGACAAATTAAGTTGGACCAAAAATAAAAAAAAAAAAAAAAAAAAGGGAGAAAATATTTGCAAATCATGTATCTGATAAAGGTGTACTACCCAGAATACATAAAAAGCTCTTACAACTCAGTAAAAAGACCAGTAATTCAAATAGAAGACCTGAGAGACATTTCTCCAAAGGTGAAATACAAATGGCTGATAAGCACAAGAAAATACGCTCAGCCTCATTGGTATTTAAGGAGATGAAAATAAAAATAACCATGAAACACCATTCATACCCACTAGAATGATCACAATTAATAATAATTGAAGAAAGTGACAAGAATGGAAAATAAGTGTAGAAAATAAACCACAACCCCATCTCCTCCATTCTCCTCCTGGGATTTTGAGCATGCAAGCACGTTTTCCCAGAGTGATTTTCAAGCTGCTGGGTCCAAGACTCAAATCATGGTCAGCCATATGAGAACCCAGCACCTTAACCACCACAGCACCTGCTGGACCCACCTCGCCTACATCTTTATGCTTTGCTTACCTTTCTACCATTTTCACCTCCAACCCAGACTGGTTCAGCATTTGGGAAAAGATGAGGGGGGTCTTCAAAAAGTTTACAGAAAATACATACCATGACTGGGTCCAAGACTCAAATCATGGTCAGCCATATGAGAACCCAGCACCTTAACCACCACAGCACCTGCTGGACCCACCTCGCCTACATCTTTATGCTTTGCTTACCTTTCTACCATTTTCACCTCCAACCCAGACTGGTTCAGCATTTGGGAAAAGATGAGGGGGGTCTTCAAAAAGTTTACAGAAAATACATACCATGAAAACACTATGCATAGGGGAACCAGCAGTTAGCGTAATGGCTATGTCGCTGGACTCCCATGTAGTCGACCGTGGTTCACATCCCGGATCCGGTGGCTTAAAACTCATGCCGGGCGCGTGTGCATGCGTGCCCAAGATCCCGAGAGGAGACTGGAGGAGAGGGGATTGCGGTGTGACCATCCCCCCCGGGGGGTGATTTCTCGCTTTCAGTCTCTATGTCTCTCTCTGTCTGTCTGGCGAGCGCACGTGCCCTATAGCAAAAACCTCTCAAAAAAACAAAAACAAAAACAAAAACAAAACACCACTATGCATAGATTACAGGGGCTTTTTGCACCAAAATAAATACTTACTTATAATATTCCTGAACAAGATCTATTGGGTCATCCAAAAAGTCAGGACACATTTTTGCATAGAAAAACAGAAAAATACATCCTGACTTATCCAATGACTCAATAGTTTGAGGCACTGAGGATGATAGAATATCAATTTGAATAGACGCCCTATCAGAGAAACATGAAATCTGCTGAAACTGAGAGTACAAACATCACAAACAAACATTATGGTGAAGCTTGGGTAGAAGAATAGTGAAATCATTGATGCTTTATGAAAACCTTACAGGGACAATGTTCCAGAGAAATTAGCAGTTTATAAATAAGTAACGTTTTTTGTTTTTTGAGATTTTTGCCTTAAGGCACATATGCTTGTCAGAGACAGAGACAGTAAGAGGGAAAATGAGAAATCATTCCCCGGGAAGAGGGTGGGTAGCCATGTCACAATCCCCTCTCTTCCCTTCTTCTGGGATCTTCGGTATGTACACACGTGTGCCTGGCATGAGTTTCAAGCCACCAGATCTGGGACTTGAACTGCAGTCAGCCATGTGGAAGTCCAGCAGTTTAACTGCTTGCTATCGCTGGCCCCAGTAACTCCTTTTAAGAGGAGAGAGATGGGGTGGGGAACAGCAGGTGGTATGAAGGTTGAGGCACTGGACTCCCACATGACTGACTGCAGTTTGAGTCCTGGACCCAGCAGGTTGAAAGTCATGCTGGGTGTATTTGTATGCATGTTCAAAATTCCAGGGGAGAATGGAGGAGAAGAGATTGCAGAATGGCCATCCCCCCAGGAGATGATGTTTTGCTTTCTCTCTCTGTCTCTCTCTGGCGAGATTGCACACGCCCTATGGCAAAAACCTAAAAAGAAAAGAGAGACAATACTGAAAAAGATCCCTGCAGTGGCAGACCATCCACATCAACTTGCAGGGGAAAAAACTAATCTTGTTCGTGCCCTAAGAGAGCCATTGATTAACAGAAACAGCAGCCAACACCATAGACATCTCCATCGGTTCAGCTTACGCAATTCTGACTGAAGAATTAAAGTTGAGCAAAGTCTGCTCAATGGGTACCAAAACTATTGTGCCCAGATTGGCTACAGACAGGACCAGAATTTCTAAAGGAAATGTGAGAGAAAAGGGATCAAGATTCTAAAGCAGTTAAGATCCTAAAGACAAAGCATAACCAAAGCTATGGCTACCAAGAGGTGGAAGTGATCCAGGCAAAGCAGAAGTGGACCGGTCAAGAAGAAAGGTCATGGCAGCAGTTTTGGGGGATGTTCAAAGTATTTTACTTGTTGACTTTCTAGAGAATCCAGGAGAGCAGCTGCTGTTAGGATTGTTTCCATAAAGTTAGCCAAAGCTTTACCAGAAAATGCCCAAAGGAGCCTCACCAGAGAGTCCTCCATGACAGCAATGCTCCTGCTCTTTAGTCTAATCAGACAAGGGCTATCTGGGGAGAGTTTGCTTTTTTTTTTTTTTTTAAAGAGATTTTTACTATAGAGCACATGCACTCGCTAGAGAGACAGAGAGAGAGAGAGAGACAGAGGGACAGAAAGTGAGAGATCACCCCCCGAGGGGATGACCACACTGCAGCCTCTTCTCCTCCACTCTCCTCTCAGGATTCTGGGCACTCACACATATGTGCCCAGTGTGTGTTTTATGCTGCCGGGTCCGGGGCGTGAACCACAGTTGACTGTGAGAGTCCAGCGATCTCATCATTATGAATCACCCCCCAGGGGGGATGGCCACGCCGCAATCCCTTCTCCTCCATTCTCCTCTCTGGATCTTGGGCACACACGCACACGTGCCCGGCGTGAGTTTTAAGCCACCGGGTCCGGGACACGAACCACGGTCGACTACGTGGGAGTCCAGCAACATAGCCATTACACTAACTGCTGGTCCCCCTAAACATCGTTTTTTACAATATTACCATTTCCCAAGTTTCTTGTTCTTGCATTCTTGGGCTTTTCTGTTTTCCTCACTAGATATGTCATGCTTTTCAGAGGGCCAGCATTCTACATAATGTAGTTCAATAATAAAAAGAATACTCAGAATTCATTGAATTCTACCCTGAGCCTGGAATTAAAGAACTTCCTAGATATTATCTTAGTTAATATTCCTTATAAGGTACTTATATTCCTATTCCCAGAAGTGAAAATTGTGGATTAGAGAGTTCAGTAACTGATCCAAGTATTCACACGTTTAGTAAGAGAGTGAGCAAGCTGGCGAACCAGGTCTCTGAGCTCTATCCAGGGAGTCCCACTGCCTCAGCTTAAAAGCCTTAGCCTCAAGGCCATGTCCAGCCCCCTAGTTCATCCAGGTTTACAGAAGCCCCACCTATTGTTTACAGTGTGGACTCAGTAGTCCATTTTACCCTTTAAGGACATGGTTAACAGTATTCACCAGGTTTTTCAAATAGAGATTTAAAGTACATTCTAATAATTTCAACAGTTAAAAAAGATAAACCCTTTTAAGGATACTTAATGTCGATGGAAAAATAACCAACTGTAAAAATTAATAATTAATAATTATGTGGTTTATTTCCAAGCCAAATTTGAGTGTCCTAGGCCCGGGGAAGAGGCATACATGCCTTTCTCGGAGTGATCATGTTCAGGGGTTCCTTTTATTTATTTTCATGATTGACAGACAAAATTTAATGAAGAGATTTTCCATTGGTCTGGCCCAAAAAGGCAGAAAAAACCTGTATGTTTATTCTTGCTTTCAATCATGTTATCATCAATGAGCTTATATTTGAATTATGTTTTATTTTAAAAACTAAACGATCACTATCAAGAGACTTCACAAGGTTTATGAAAAATTGGATTAAAGGATGAACTTATTTGGGTGCAAAAATTTTGAAAACAATACAGATTTTTTCATAAAATATGCATTTTTCCATGAACTTTTTTTTGAGAGTTTGCTTTTTTTTTTTTTTTTAAAGAGATTTTTACTATAGAGCACATGCACTCGCTAGAGAGACAGAGAGAGAGAGAGAGACAGAGGGACAGAAAGTGAGAGATCACCCCCCGAGGGGATGACCACACTGCAGCCTCTTCTCCTCCACTCTCCTCTCAGGATTCTGGGCACTCACACATATGTGCCCAGTGTGTGTTTTATGCTGCCGGGTCCGGGGCGTGAACCACAGTTGACTGTGAGAGTCCAGCGATCTCATCATTATGCCATCTGCTGGTCCCGTGGGGAGAGTTTTTATGGGAAATTATTAAGCATCTACGTTACAACCCTGATTTGGCTCCTTCTGACTTCTTTTTTTTCCTAATCTTAAAACATCTTTAAAAGGCCCCGTTTTTCTTCAGCTAATAATATACAACTATATTGGCTTGGTTAAATTTTCAGGACTCTCAAGTGTTTTTAGGGATAGACTAAACTTTAGGCTGATATCATGGAGTGCAAAATTGTCTTGAACTTGACAGAGCTTATGTTGAAAAATAAAGTTTATATTTTAATCTTTTAATCCGACTTTCTGCCAGTTTTTCAAAGTTCCCTCATATTTTCAGTAGTAATGTGGATTTTCTCTTCCCACGTTTTCTCCCAAATGAATAAAGATGGTATTTTCCTTAATAAGTCACGTAGCCTCCTTCTATGTTTCATAGCACATGGACTCCTGGTTACAGTCAGCCAAAGACCATGAGCGGGAACGGGCCACGGCCAGCATGGCTCAGGTTCTGAAGTGCTTGTCCAGGCATCTCAGCTTGAAGGTGAGCAGGTCCCCTTCAGTTGCAGAAGAAGGATCCAAAGCCATTCTATGACTGTTCTCCCTTTCCATTTATGATGTCTCAAATTGGGCTATGTGTCACTTTGGTGCTCAAGTAATATCATGCACTTACCAGGCTGGCCTCATGGCTAAGCAGTAGTGATGTGCTGCTCAAGAGAAGCCAAATCCTACATGAGGACCAAGGTTCAAATCCCCAGGTGGTCAGCCTAAAACATGCCCAGCATATCTGCAAGTGCCTTAGATCCAACAGGCTGGAGGGGTGGAAGGTGAGAATCATGGTGTGACCAGACCCTGTGGATGGTGCTTATCTCTCTCTCTCTCATGTGTGTGCATGCACTGTTATCATGAATAAAGAAAAAATACTTGTTTAAAATTATTTAATTTTATTACTTTTTTTTTTTTTTAGAGATTTTTGCTATAGGGTGCATGTACTCACTAGAGACAGACAGAAAGTGAGAAATCACCCCCGCAGGGGGGATGGCCACTAGACAGTGGTTAAGGGCGCTGGATTTCCACAGGGCCACGCCACAATCCCTTCTCCATTCTCCTCTCAGGATTTTGGACATGCACACCCGACATGAGTTTTAAGCTACTGGGTCCCAGACTCAAATGGCAGTTGATTACTTGGGAGTCCAACGACATAACCATTACACCATCTGCTGGTCTGGAGGAAAAAAATATATTTTAAAAAGACATGAAAAAATATATATAATGGCACTTTTCATCACTTACCTATCTGCTCCTCTCCTGAAGTACGAGCGGCTTGAGGCCATGTGCTGTGTATATTAGTCTTTGCTCCCCATTGCTGAGCACAGCAGGTGGAACATAAGGATATAGTCAGTGTGTTTGAACAAATGAATAAATGTAATCTGAAAATATCTGAGGGCCCACAGTGCCTCACCTTTGTAGGTTGTGTTTGAAGAAATAAAGTCTACCAGCCAAATTTCAGGAAATCTCTAAGGAAATAGCGCTATGGTTCTTCTTTAAAATCCTCCCATTTCTCTCTCATTTTCTCACTTCTTGGTTCTGAATTCTCTCCCATGTGGTGTCTGTTTTTACAAATCCTCTCAAATCTCTTTCACTCTCTCATTGCTCGGATGTTCTGAATCCCCTCCCATAACTCCTAAAAAGAATTCCCCCAGATGAAGATCCTCCTTCCTGGGTCAATTCCTTTTTCATCTGTGAATTCCTCTTTTCCCTCCCTTAGCAGGTTCTTCATCCTGTATAATGAGGCCTGGGAATTGGAAAAGAAGTTGGTGGGGTAGGATGGCTAGGTCCTTGTGCCAGAATTTTCCCTAAGGAATTTTTTTTTTTAATTATTTACTTTTTATTTATATTATTATTTGAGCAGAGAGAGATACAGAGAAAGTAAAAGTGAGAAAGCAAGCCACCAGGTCCAGACTCAGACTGCAGCTGGCCATGTGGGAGTTCAGCACCTCAACCACCACGCCACCTGCTAGCCCCAGGGAATTTCACCGTAACACAAATGTTCTTTTCTTAAATCAGCTTTATTGAGGTATGATTTATATACAGTGAAATTCACCTGATTTAAGTGTATAGTTCATTAAGTTTTGACAAAAGTGTGTCCTTAACTTTTTTCATATTCTCACAGGAACCCAAAGCACAAAGAATAAAGATAAAAAATAAAAACAGAATATTTAAGAAGAACTTAGTAATCAGACTTAAAGCATAATTCTCTAGTGGCCTTTTTGTCTAAAGGTTTTGTTTTGTTTTGAGAATGCAAATCTGTTCATTATAGAAAAAAATTAAATATTTTAAAAATAGGGACTGAAGAAAGGTTATTGGCTGCTTATTGTGATTCAGAGATAGACACATCATTAACATTTTGGGTTTTTTGGGGGGATTTTTAAAAGGATTATTTTAACCATTTATTTATTTACTTATTTATTCATAATTTGATTAGAGAGGGACAGAGCAAGAGAGAGAGAGAGAATAGTGAGAAAGCAAGCCACCAGGTCTGGGACTCGAACCATGGTTGGCCCTGTGGAAGTCCATCACCCTTGACCACTATACCACCTGCAGGCCCCTGGCAATTAACATTTCTATTTATTCCCTTCAAGTACTTGTTCACACATGAGTATGGTGGGATGGGGACTTCCACTTGGGTTTCTTTCAGTTTGTTCTCTCTATGTAGCCAGTTAGGCTCTTCTTTTTTTTTTAGAGAGATTTTTTTCGCTATAGGTGCGTGCGCTCACCAGGCAGAGACATAGAGGCAGAAAGCGAGAAATCACCCCCCCAGGGGGGATGGTCATGCCGCAATCCCTTCTCCTCCATTCTCCTCTCGGGATCTTGGGCAAGCACGCACACGCGCCCGGCGTGAGTTTTAAGCCACTGGGTCCGGGACGCGAACCGCGGTCGACTATGTGGGAGTCCAGTGACATAGCCATTATGCTAACTGCTGGTTCCCGCCAGTTAGGTTCTTAAGCCCTACTGTGATAGGTAGTTAGCCAGACCAGGCAGCCCTGAGGTAATAGCAGAAGGACATCTGCCTCATCAGTCACAGATTATCAGGAGTTTCAACCAGACTCTGCACTCTGGGAGGACTCCTTCCTCTTACCTGGCTCCTGGAACTGGGAAGGGGAGGCAGATCCCATTTCTCTTCTTTAGTACCTAAGCATTCTTTTTTCTGGTACCCCTTGAGATCTATCTATCCAACTATCTATCTATCTATCTATTTATTTATTTATTATTCTTCAATTTGACCAGAGATAGAGAGGAGGAGAGTGAGAAAGCACGACTCCGGGTCCAGGACTCAAACCATGGTCAGCCAGGGGGAGTCCAGGGCCTTAACCACCACACCACCTGCCAGCCCAGTACCTACACATTCTCAAAGAAAAACACTTAGGGAGGCTGGCAGGTAGCATGGAAGTTAAGGGCTCTGGACTCCCACATGGCCGACTGCGGTTCAAGTCCTGAACCTGGCGGCTTGCTTTCTCACTTTCTTTCTCTCTCTCTCTCTCATCAAATTTAAAAATAAATAAATGAAGTTAAATAAAATAATTCTTAAAAAAAAAAAAAAGGCACTTAGGGAAGGTTGCCATCTTTCCTCCTGCCATTCCACATAAATACATAAAAATTTAATGGGACAGGGACCAGCAGATGACATAATGGTTACATTGCTGGACTCCCACATGGTTGACTGTGGTTCGAGTCCCAGACCTGGCAACTTCAAACTCCATTAAATTGTAAACAGGAAAAAAAAATTTAAATAATTTTAAATAATTTAATTAGTTTAAATAATACTAAATGCTATACTTAACTTTACATCTAAGTTTTTCACTTAGTAGAATAGCACATGTTCTAGTATTATAAATCCTTCAGATACTAGATTTCTAATGATTATATGCATAGAGTGGCTGTACCATAATTCCCTTTATTATTATTGAGCAATTATTTCCAAAACGTAGACTTCAAAACATTGCCTAATGGTTAAGGAAGCCAGATCCCCATGGCTGTCTACAGTTCAAATCCCAGTCCCGACAGCTTGAAAAACATGCTGAGCACGTGTGTGTGCATGTCTAAAAATCTCGACAAGATGAAGAAATGGAGATGGAATTGCTACATGACCACGTCCCATTGAGACAGTGCTTTCTCCTCTCTCTGTCTCTTTCTGGCAAACACACATACCCTCTGGCAGTTAAAAGAAAATTACAGTGCTAACATAAACATCCTTAAGCATAAAGCTGTTTTCATTTATCATATTGTTTGCTCAGGTTAGAATTTGCCCTATCTAATACCATCTGCTGGATTTATTGTATCTCTACCTGTTGAATGTCAGTCCTACAGAGACCCAAGGGCCAAGTGTGGCCTCTGCACTTCTCTTTGGTTGGGAGTAGGAGTGAGATTACTTCTCAACCACTCAAATCTAAGGCAGTAAATGTATCTGTAGTCTTTTTCTTGTTTCTTTTTTCTTTTTTAAATTCATGATAGAGATCACCTGTGGGCATGTCCATGCAAAGTAGGGGGAGGGATGGGAAGGGAGAGGAACCCTCAACAGATTTTTATCATGCCATGATCCCCCTTTCCCAACCCTCCAGCTAGTCAGTATCTTGGGCATGTGACACATGTGCTAGTGTGTTTTCAAGATGACCCAGGGATCCAACCCATAGTTGGCATTGTGGCTTCTAGCACTGCAGTGCAGTTTGATACCAGCTGTGCACTAGGCTGGACCTCAATGCACCTGTGTTCTAATGACATTTTTCCTTTTCCTTGTTACTTAGCTTCCACTGCGATTCCAAAGACTTGGACACCTTGTGGCTCTGATGGCACTGCTGTGTGGGGACCCGCTGAAAGAGGTGGCCAGCGAGGCTGCAGAGGGCACTCACTACCTGCTGCATATCACTCTGAGGCTGAAGTGTAAGGCATTGGAGGCAGTGAGGCCCTGAATGAACTCTCTGGCATAACATAAACACCAGCTGTCCCTGTGTCCCACACTCCATGTTCTAGAAAGATTTTCCACAGTAGTTTATAAAGAAAAAGGTACATGGTCCATAGGCAGAGATGAAGCAGTGCTGACTTACCAGTTAGGATCATGACACTGGATCAGACCCACCAGCGTGGCCATGAAGTAGCTAACTGCAGTGATTTGTTGATTTATTTGGTCAGAAAACAGAGAGTGGTTTCTTTCTGTTTCCCTCTTAAGTGAGCGCACACACCCTTCAGCAATTTTTTTTTAATAAGTAAGAAAAAGAAATGGGAGTGATTCTTGCCATCATTTGGGCCTTTATTCATTTATTTATCACGTAAGTATTTGTTTAGTTTTTACTTATACTACAAGATAAGGGAGATATCATTTGGGCCTTTATTCATTTATTTATCACATAAATATTTGTTTAGTATTTACTTATACTACAAGATAAGGGAGACAAGTCAGCTTTTTTCTTTCTTTCTTTCTTTTTTTTAAAGATTTTTGCCATAGGGCATGTCTACTCACCAGAGAGAGACAGTAGAGGGAAAGTGAGAAATCACCACCCAGGGATGATGGTCATGCTGCAATCTCTTCTCTTCCACTCTCCTCTTAGGATTTTGGGCACCATGCACACATGCCTGGTGTGATTTTCAAGCCACTGGGCCCAGGACTCAAACTGCAGTTCGTCATGTGGGAGTCCAGTGCTGTAACCACCGTGCCCCCTGCTAGCCCCACAAATCAGCTTTTGGATTAACACATGCACCCTCTCCCAAGCATTTTTGTTCAACTGAAAACAAGAGTGAGATTTTGGGATCCACTTCAACCTGGACATCGACCAGATCTGTAAAATCAGGAAGGAAATAAGCCAGAAAGTATTAATATTTCATATTTTCTTCTTAGATATCACTCATGACAAGAAAAATCACCAAAGCTTGAAAAGAGCATTTAAAAAATGCCGAGAACTCCTAGAGCTCTACAATATTAAACAGTTCTACAGTTATCCGTTCAAAATTGCCCAGGTAATCAGAATGGGTATAATTATAAATAGGGCCAGCTGGTAGCATGGTGGTTAAAACGGGTGGATCTTCATGGCGGACTGTATAGTTTAAGGCCCAGAACCAGTGGCTTAGTAAACATGCTGGGTAGGGGGCCAGCGGGTTGCATGGTGGTTAAGGCTCTGAATTCCCACATGATCCGCTGTGGTTTGAGTTTGAACCTAGTGACTTGAAAATCATGCTGGGCATATGTGCATGGCCAAAAGGAGAATGGAGGAAAAGGGATTATAGCATGGCCATCCCCACTGGGAGGGTCGTTTCTCACTTTCCCTCTCTGTCTCTCTAGCGCTCTCCAGCAAGCACACGTGTCCTATAGCAACATTCCCTCCCCCACACACACACAAGAAAAAAATATGCTAGGTGCATATTGTGCCCAAAATTCTGAAAGGAGAAATGGAGGAGAAAGAGTTACAGCATGACCATACCCCACAGGGAATGCTTTCTCACTTTTCCTCTCTCTCTCTCTCTCTCTCTCTATCTCCAATGAAGGCATACACCCTCTAGGAAAAGAAAAAAATTATAAATATAGATGGCTTGAAATGTTGGTGAGAATGGTAAGCAACCAGAAGTCCATGGAAATATAGTAAAAACCACTTTGGAAAAAGTTCTGGTAATTTCTTATAAAACTAAACATAAAGATTACCCAAGGAAGGCTGGCACTATGACCTGGAGGTTAAGGCAGCTGGATCCCACATGGATGACTCCATGGTTCAAGTCCTGGACTTGACAGCTTGAGAAATATCCCAGGACCATTTGTGTGTCCCCAAAATCCCAGAAGGAAAGAGAGATGGAGAAGGGATTGTAGTGACAGAGATTATGACATTCTCCATGGGAGGTACTTTCTCCTCTCTGTCTCTCACTCTGTCTCTGACAAATGCATGCACCCTCTGGCCAAAAAGAAAAAAAAAAAAAAGACCCAGGGAATATGCTCTCTAAAAATTTCATAGTTTTGAAATGAGGCACTAGATTAATGACTCTTTTACGTGTGTCCTTAGTTTAGTGGTTTAGGTTAACCCATCAATGAGACCCATATTACTGCATTTCTCTGTAGATGAGCTCTGCTCCCTCCGAGGGCCTCTGGCACAAAAAGGAGCTACAACAGAGAGTGGTTGATGCAAGGCACCATATACTTTTTTCTTTTTTTTTTGGAGAGGTTTTCGCTATAGGGCGTGTGCGCTCACCAGACAGAGAGAGACATAGAGACAGAAAGCGAGAAATCACCCCCCAGGGGGGATGGTCATGCCTCAATCCCTTCTCCATTCTCCTCTTGGGATCTTGGGCACGCATGCACATGCGCCCGGCGTGAGTTTTAAGCCACTAGGTCCGGGATGCGAACCGCGGTTGACTATGTGGGAGTCCAGCGACAAAGCCATTACGCTAACTGCTGATTCCCATCTTTTTCTTTTTCTTTTTCTTTTAAGAATTATTTATTCAAGACCAGCAGATGGTGTAATGGTTACTTCGCTGAACTCCCACATGGCTGACTGCAATTCAAGTCCCTGACCTAGCAGCTTGAAACTCACATGAGGCATGTGTGCATGCATGGCCAAAATCCTGAGAGGAGGGTGGAGGAGAAGGGATTGTGGTGTGGCCATCCACTCTGGGGGTGATTTCTTGCTTTCTGTCTCTTTGTCTCTCTAGTGAGTGCACATGCCTTACAGCAAAAATCTCTCTTAAAAAAAAAGTTATTTTTTAAATTTATTATTAATATCATTGAATTTACTATAGGGCATGTGTACTCACCAGAGAGAGACTGAGAAAGAGAGACAGAGAAAGAGAGAAAGCAAGCCACCAGGTCCAGAACTTGAACCATGGCAGCAATGTGGAAGTCCAGCACCTCAACCACCATGCCACTTGCCGGCCCCCACCATATACTTTTTAATTAATGTAGTGATTCATTGTCCAGCAAATATTTATGCATCTACTAAATACCAGGTATGTTAGTGGTTAGGGAGAACAAAAAGAATATCTACAAGTCTTATTTATATAACATCAAAAGTATCAGGAAATTTAATATGTCTGCATATCAGTTTTCTCATCTGTACAATGGTGTATCTGTAAAAATTGGGATAACTCAAATATTATAAGGGTTAAGTGCGATAGTGTGTGGGAAATGCTTTGCTTAGTGCCTGTCACATACATATTAAGTGCTTAGTAGATTGTATCTATTATGATCATATGACAGACTCTATACACTGTCAAATGCAATGGCAAGTAGGATGACCCATTCTTGTAATATGTTTTCTCCTGCATATTAGCTATGCCTGGAACCCTGTCAGCTATGTAACATTAGGCCATTTCGTTTAGTCCTATTTCTTGTAAAAGTGCAACTCTCTCAGGATCACATAACAAAGGTTCTTTCTAAAAGTCAGATAAGTGGGGCCAGCACACGGTGTAGTGGTATTGCCACTGGACTCTTACATAACCAACTGTGGTTTGAGTCCCAGATCCAGCAGCTTGAAACTCATGCTGCGTACATGTGCATGAGGCCCCAAATCCCAAGAGGAGTACAGAAGAGGAGGAATTGCATTATGACCATCTTCTGGGGGGTAATTTCTCACTTCCTCTCTCTACACCTCTCTCTGTCTTTCTGGCAAGTGCACATACCCTGTAGCAAAAATATCACACACACACGAAAAAGAAAGAAAGAAAGAAAGAAAGAAAGAAAGAAAGAAAGAAAGAAAGAAAGAAAGAAAGAGAGAAAAGAAAAAGAAAATCACATCGAGTGCGTGTACATACATGCCCAAAGTCCCAGGAGAAGAATGGAGGAGAAGGGATTGCAGCATGGCAATCCCCCTAGGGAGTGATTTCTCAGTTTCCCTCTCACTATCTCTGTCTCTCTGGCAAGTGCACACACTCTATGGAAAAACTTTTTAAAAAGTAATAAAAGATCAGTAAAAGGCTATGTACAAAACCTAGGAATATATATTTGGGCTGCTTCCAGTGTTTTGCTTTTGTAAACAAAACTGAAATAAGCAGCCTGTACATCTTTAACTGAAAATCTAGTTATAGGAGTCAGCAGGTGGCATGGTGGCTAAAGGCAGTGGATTCCCACATGGCCGACTGCTGTTCAAATTCCAGACCTGGTGGCTTGCTTTCTCGCCTTCCCTTTCTCTCCCTCTCTGTCTCTGTCAAGTTAAATTTTAAAAATAATAATAACAAATGGAATTAAATAATTATTAGAAGACAAATCTAGTTACAAGGGTTCAGGGCTCTAGCATACCATATTTCTTGGAAACTCTTTGTTTTCTAAATCATTTCAGATCTTTGAAGTTTTTCTCAATTCAAATGAGCTCTGCCAGTTTGTAATGACTACTTTGGATGGCCTGGAAAACCTGAAACATCCCTGTACCCAGCAATCAGCAGGAGAACTGCTGATAACATTGGTGAAAAATGCGGAGTCTCGATTTGAGAAGGTAAAAGCTCAGTGGCCATTTCCTTGGTTTGAAACACCAGCAAGATCTCCCAAACCCTGCAGCCGCTAAGGTCTTCTGCTGCTCCTGTCAGCTGCTGATGGGGACAAAGCCTTCGTCCATTCGGTCTCAAACATTCACCGTTCACCAATTTAATAAACATGTACAAAAGGATTTCAAAAAGTTCATGGAAAGTGGCATTAAAATACAAGTTTATTTTGGTGTAAAAAACGTTGATGGAGCCAGCAGGTGGCGCAGTGGCTAAGGGTGCTGGACTCCCACATGGTCGACGGCAGTTCAAGCCCCGGACCTGGGGCTTTCTCACTTGCCCTCTCTCTGTCTCTTGCTCTGTCCCTCTCTGGTCAAATTAAAATAAATAAATCAAGTTAAATAAAATAATTATTTTTAAAAATTGACATCCAGGCATAGTTTCTTATAATATGCCTTTTCCATGAATTTTTGAAGAAACTTTGTTCTAATAACCACTGTGCTTGCAACTAGGGAGGAGAATTTTTTGAATCTAAGGTGTAATCCAGATTTTCAAGAAGAGTAGAGTTTTTCTGTGGACATACATTGTATATATATGAGAATTGTAACTTAAATTTGGATACTCATCCAGATGAATGAAAGATGTCAGATTGGTTTTGTTTTTGTTTTAAAGAATTATTTATTTGATTTTATTTATTTATCATATTATATTATTTTGTAATTTGACCAGAGACAAAGAGCACGAGAGAGGGAAAATGAGAAAGGAAGCCACCAGGCCAGGTCTGCTACTTGAACTGTGGTCGTCCACATGGGAGTACAACACCTTAACCACCCTGCCACCTGTTGGCCCCCAGTTTGTTTTTTTTGAAGGGCCAGCCTCGTGATAACAACAGTTAAATACTGTGCATTTAACAGTTAAATGCTGTGTCAGATCCCACACAGCCAACTGCAGATCAACTCACAGCCCGAGGTGCTTGACAAGCACATCAGGTATGTGTGAATGTGTGTCCCAAATCCTGATGGGATGGTAAAATAGAGGAATTGTGGGGGAGACTATCTCTATCTCTCTAGCGCGCTCTCTCTCTCTCTCTCTCTCTCTCTCTGTGATGAGTGCACACACCATCTGGCAATTAAAAAATAAATAAAGCCATAAATGACTTAGAAGCTGGCAGACTTGAAAACTTAAGAGAATGTATCTAAATTTATTTAAAGTGAATGTGTTAAGAAATAACGGGGACCAGCAATTAGCATAATAGCTATGTCACTAGACTCCCATGTAGTCGACCGCAGTACGAGTCCTGGACCTGGTGGCTTAAACTCACGCTGGGCGCGTGTGCATGCGTGCCCAAGATCCCAAGAGGAGAATGAAGGAGAAGGGATTGCGGCGTGGCCATCCCCCCTGGGGGGTGATTTCTCGCTTTCTGTCTCTCTCTGTCTCTCTCTGTCTTTCTGACTAGCGCATGCGCTCTATAGCAAAAACCTCTCCAAAAAAAAAAAAACAGGATAAAAGATGACAATGTATCACTTAGAAATATAGAAGAACATAGTAAAAAAGACAAAAGGGATGAAAGTAGTTGTCTCTAGAGAGAAGACCTTGGGAATAGGAAAATGAGAGTCTTGAAATGCCACTGGACTTAGAAAATTGTGTGTGTGTTATACTTCATAAAAATAAAAAAGTAATTTAAATATGATGAGAACCACCTTTAGCCTATTAAAATAATCAAGATGCAGAAAGAATAGCATGATGAGAGTGTGATGAGATGGGGACTTATATCAGTTGGGTGCTTTGAGCTGTAAAAAGACCAACTGTGAGATGCTCAACCAAAGGATTTATTACTTATACAAGGAATCTTCAAAAAGTCCACGGAAAAGGCATATTATGAAAAATGCATGAATTTGAAAAAATTTTTTGCACTAAAGTAAACTCATACTTTAATTTCATTTTTCTTTTTTCTTTTGCTAAAGGGCACATAAACTTACAGGAGAGAAATAGAGAAAAAGAGAGGGAAAGTGAGAAAGTACCCCCCAGGGATAGTCATATTGAATTTCCTTCTCCATTCCTCCCTTTTTTTTTTTTCTGAGAGGTTTTTGCTATAGGGCGCGTGCGCTCGCCAGACAGACAGAGACAGAGAGACAGAAAGCAAGAAATCACCCCCCAGGGAGGATGGCCACGCTGCAATCCCTTCTCCTCTGTTCTCCTCTCTGGGTCTTGGGCACGCACGCACACGCGCCCGGCGTGGGTTTTAAGCCATCGGGTCCAGGACCCGACCCACGGTCGACTATGGGAGTCCAGCGACATAGCCATTACGCTAACTGTTGGTCCCCATTCTTCCCTTCTTTCAGAATTTTGAGAATGCATGCACATTCACCTGGTGTTTTTCAAGCCACCAGGTCTAGGACTTGAACTGTGCCATTGGCCATGTAGGATCCAGCTGCCTTAATCACCATGTCATTAGCTGGCCTTCCATTTGTCTATGGACTTTTTCAAGTCTGGTTTTATAATATTTTCTAGAATCAGTTCAGTGATTTCACAGTGTTAACGACTCAGGGGCTTATCCCTCTTTCTGCTTTGCCTGTTCACATAATTATAAGGCAGTCTAGCGGATAAGATTGTAACCAGAAAGAAGAAAGATACTGCCTTCCTTTTTTTCCCCTTTATTCAGGGTAGGAAATCTTCCCTGAAAGTCCCCTATTGAACTTTTCCCTTCTGTTTCATTGGCCAGGATTATATTATCTGTCTATCGTTTTTTTTAAGAATTACTTTTTGGGGCTGGCAGGTGGCATGGTGGTTAAGGACGCTGTATTCCCACATGGCTGACTGCAGTTCAAGTTCCAGACCCGGCAGCCTGTTTTCTCGCTTTCCCTTTCTCTTTCTGTCTCTGGTCAAATTAACAAAACAAAACAAAACAAAAATGGAATTAAATAAATAAATTTAAAGAATAATTACTTTATTTAACTTTATTTTTATTTCATTTATTTATTTTAATTTGACCAGAGAGGGGGGAGAGAGAGAGAAAGCGAGAAAGCAAGCCACCAGGTCCGGAACTCGAACCGCAGTCAGCCATATGGGAGTCTAGCACCCTCAACCACCACGCCACCTGCCGGCCCCTCATCTGCCTATCTCTACAACAGTTTCTGGAAACTGGTGATGATGATAATGGCTACTTTATGTGAGGTTGCTGAGGACCACCTCTCTGAAAAACTGACATTTCTGTAGAGCTCTGAAGCTGTGAATCTCTGGGTAGGAAATACAGTCCAAGTAGAGAAATGAACCAAAGCCCAATGGCTCCTCCTTTCTTTCACTGAACCTGGTAGACCTCTCTGGAGGAAGGCTGGCCAGGACTCTTCTACCATCCTCAGAGTCAGAATGGAAAAAGTTTGTTTCTTTGCAACACTTTTATTAGTTTGTCATTGTAAAATAAATACATAATTACTGAGGAAAATTAGAAAAAAAATAAGTAACAAAACAAAACAATATCTCTTTACTCAGAGATGCACAATGAGGCTCAGCCTCAGTGGCACACACTGCCAAGACACTGCTACTCAGAACCTGGGGTCACCAGGGAGATCAGGTTTGATTCCTTGGGCAACATAAATAGGCCAGGTGTGCTGGTCCTAGCTAACTGGGAGGCTGCAGCAAGACCCTGTCAAACTCTCTTTCTCTCTCTCATACATAAATAAGTACACTTTAAAAAGGAAAAGACACATGATTAATGTATTTATGTGTCCATTTTTCTGAATCGTTTCTTGTGTATATACAAGAGGATGGGGGTCTTCAAGAAGTTCATAGAAGGTGAGTATTATGAAAAAACTGCATGGATTTCAATTTTTTTTGCAACAAAACAAACTTTAAATTTTATTTTTAATAAGCCCTTTAAAGTTCCTTCATAAATGCATATAGATCTTTTAGTAGTTTAGATCATACTTTTTTAAAATAAAAAACATTTTATTTAGAAGTCTCTCCCTAATACCTTTTAGAAAGGCCACAGTATTTTCAGTTATTATCTCATGGGATTCAGGTCTTCATGATTTATTTTTCTTCTTCAGGTGCCAGAAATTATGGGCGTTATCTGTGCCCGGCTATCCATAATCAGCCAACCCAGAGTCCGCCAACAAGTTATAAATACTGTGAGCTTGTTTATCTCCAGGCCCAAATACACAGATATAGTACTCAACCACCTTCTCTGTCACCCCGTACCGTATGACAGGTAACGAACCCTGTTCAGCCTCTGGATTACATTGGGGTATGTGACCTAGCTCTGAGTATTGTGCAAGATGATTTCACTTAAAATTCTAATGATACTCTTGAAGGTGAGATAAGATATAAATGCCTCTGATATAAAGCATAGTAATTTATATACATAAGGAAGTAATACAGCAAATCCAGAATGAAGAATATTCCATAAGATCATTGGACTGGAGTCTTCAAAAATGTTAAAATAATGAAAAAGAATGGTGGCAGGGACATGGATCTAAATTTTAAAAAATACTAAAGAGATGTCACTATGTGACCTTGATTGGATCATCGATCAAAAACTTCAGGAAGAATTTTAGTATGGACTCTACTACATTATGAAATGAATGTATTTCCTTAGATGTGAAATGATAACTATGGTTATGGAGAAGAATGCCCTTATTCTCAGGTAATAGACACTGACATTATTTCGGGGTAGTGTCATAACTTCTGTAACTTACTTGTACAATGATTTTCAGATTAATTTTGGCCAAAAGTAAATAAATAAATATATATGTTAAGGAGGAAATTTAAATATGTAAAGAAAAATAAAATCATAAACAGGAATGACATGGTTCAAGTCCCAGACCCAGCAGCTTGAGAAACACGCTGGGCCTGTGCACATGTGTGCCCCGTATCCCAAAAGGAGAAAGTGAGGGAGAAGGGATTGTGGTGTGACCATACCTTATAGGGGGTGCTTTCTTTCTCTCCCTCTTTCTTCTCAGTGAGTACATGCACTCTCAGTCAAAAACAACAGAGAGGAAGGTGGGGAGTTCCATACTGGGTGTTCCAGGAGGCACCGGTGATGCATGCAGGGACACTCCAGGAGAACGCTCCGTGACCCCACCCCGCTTTAACCCGAGCTACACCTCTTATTTCTTTTCTAAGTTGTGATTCTGGGCAATTGTTTTACTTGAAGGAAAGATTTCTTCTCTTCAGATAAATGCCTCTGATATAAAACATAGTAATGTATATATATAAGGAAATAATACAGGAAATTCAGAATAAAGAATATTCAGATATTCATGGGACCAGCAGTTAGCGTAATGGCTATGTCGCTAGACTCCCACGTAGTCGACCGCGGTTCGCGTCCCAGACCCGGTGGCTTAAAACTCATGCCGGGCGCGTGTGCGTGTGTGCCCAAGATCCCGGGAGGAGAAGGGATTGCGGCGTAACCATCCCCCCTGGGGGGGTGATTTCTCGCTTTCTGTCTCTGTCTTTGTCTGTCTGTCTGGCGAGCACACACGCGCTATAGCAAAATCCTCTCCAAAAAAAAGGATATTCAGATATTCTTTGCTTCCGACTGAAAACCATGCCTCTTTGAAATGATTAGCTCCCACATGACATCTTGGTGTAGTGCTGATGTTCTCTAAACATCTACCACTAAATCAAAGTGGAGAACTTTGACCTATCCTGAGAAGAACATCAATTGATACAGTTTTTACCAGGGAGCATTGTATTCACTGGAGAGAGACACAAAGAAAGAAGGCGAGAAAGCACACGCACACACCCCCTACCAGGGCGGAGGGCCACACTGCAGTCCCTTTTCTTCCATTCTCCTTTCGGAATTTTGGTCCTTCACACACACATGCCCAGCATGTTTTCAGACCACAGATCCGGGACTTGAACCTCACAGTCAGCCATCTGAGATCTTACTGCCTTAAGTACCATACCACATGCTGACCCAATTGGTACAGATTTTTTTTAAAGCATTATTTTGTATATTTCTCTAATAAATTACTCATAAGCCTTTGATACTTGCTCTAGTTATCTATACTAGATTTGTATATACATACAAAATATTAACTATATTTAGTTATTTTAAATATAATTTTAACAATCTATTGTGTGTATTTGTTCTACCTCTTGGAGAACTTGGAGAACTATTGCTTTAAATCATAGGAAAATTGGGGCCAGCAGGTGGTGTGGTAGTTAAGGGCACTGGACTCCCACATGGCTGTTCACGGCTCAGGTCCCAGACATGGCAGCTTACTTTCTCACTTTCTCTCTCTCTCCCTCCTTGTCCCTCTCTGGTCAAATTAAAATAAATACATTTAAAATAAATAAATAAATAAAAGTAAAATACATCAAATTAAAATAATTTTTTAAAAATCATAGGAAAATTGTGGGATCTTTCAAAAGTGGAAATGACTTAAGTTCAGGTGCAGCGGTATGTACCTGTAATCCCAGCCCCTCAGAAAGCTGAGGAAAGAGGTTTAACACAGTGAGACCTTGTCTTAAATTGGGGCTGGAGGGAATGGATTACTCAGGAAACATCATTCTAACCATATTTTTGGAGACTTACCTGAAGCCCGTTAGTTGGTTTATAGACAGATTGGGGTAATAGTAAGAAGTCTCTTCACAGTACCAATTATGTGCAAGGTGCCTTTAGGCGATAGAAATTATGGACAGGCCATGGACTCTGCCCTCCAGCAACAAGACACAGGTGAATAGCAGAGGATTCCAAAGCAAAGTACTGGATTCTGTGGAAGCCCTAGGAGGGGACTTAATTAGATAAAGATCCAGGATGGATTTCTGAAAGCAGGCTGGCCCAAGCTGAGTTTTGTAGTGTGAGTTAGTTAAGTAGGAGTATGGGGGCATGGAAAAGGCAGTTCATATAGAAGGAATAGCAAAAATAAATGCAAGGAGGTATAACACAGCTTGATAAATGCTGAGAGCCAGAAACAGATCAGAATGACTGGAGAGAAAAGTGGATAGTAAGAATTAGTCAGTCACAAGGGATTTTTGTGCAGTGATGGAAACGTTTTGAGAAACCAGCAGTTGGCATGGTGATTAAGGTGCAGGACTCCCACATAGCCAACATGGTTTGGCCATGGACCTGGTGGCTTGCTTTCTCACTTTCCCTCTCTGGTGAGCACATGTGCCCTGTAGCAAATTTTAAAATAATTAAAAAATAATAATAAATAAATAAAATTAAATAATTTTAAAAGAAAGAAATGTTCTGATGGTGGCTTGCTTTCTCACTTTCTCACTTTCCCTCTCTGGTGAGCACATGTGCCCTGTAGCAAATTTTAAAATAATTAAAAAATAATAATAAATAAATAAAATTAAATAATTTTAAAAGAAAGAAATGTTCTGAAATTGGGGCCAGCAGGTGGTATAATGGTCGTAGCACTTGACTCCTACCTGGCCAACTGTGGTTTGAGTCCCAGACCCAGCAG